GCCTCCCCAGCACTGGGATTACAGGCTCTGACTTGGTGGCCGGCTCAGTGCATCTGGGGGTAGGCCCGTGCAGCAGGAGGTACGAGGGATTGGACCCCAGTCCGTGTGCTTGCCTAAGCAGGCATTTAGTCCTCTGATTTATCTCGCTGGCCCTAGAACTTCTGATATTTTAAAAATCTGGGTTCTTGGTTTAAAAGGTTATTAACTATCAAAATTAGGTAAATTACATATGTACTTTTCTGTATGTGTACTATATTTTAATAAATTTATAAAAATACTTCACTTAAAATGTTCTTTACAAAGTAATAAAAACAATAGCAGTGAGAGTCCTAGTGATTACTCTAGTAGATACTCCCTTTGATTTACTTCCCTCTCAGAAGACTATTTACTAAATTGTTTAATGTCTAACTTATGTAAATTTGTTGCCACTTATTAAGTGAAGTATAATATGCAAGCCCTAAATGCATTAATCTAAAGTCACTGCAACAAAGTGACTTTCTGCATAAGTAAGATGAAAATAGAGACCATTTCCAGCACCCTAGCAGGTTTTGCTAATACGTACTCATTCTATGCTCTTTTCTCTTTTCTTTTCGCAGAACTAGGGACTAAATCCTAAACTGTCACACTAAGATACGTAGTCAGCCATACCTCTCTTTAAAAAATTTTTTGGAAAAAAAATTAGGGGACAGGGTCTCACTGAGTTATTAAATTGCCCAAAGTGGGTTTCATATGCTGAGCATTATACAGGCATATGTCACCACACCAGGCTATATGCCCTTCCTTCACAAGAGTACACACTACTCATTTTTCTTCCCCTGAGAGAGTTTTGCTGCTACTTAGGCTGATCTTGAACTCCCTGCTCAGATGATCTTTGTGTCTCAACATTCCAAGTAGCTAGAACTAACAGCAGCATGGACCACCCCACTTAGACTAGCACACGCTGCACATGGTTCTAGCATCAAGTACTTTTGATTTCTTGAACTTAATATAAATGGAATCATATAGTATGTACTTCTGTGCCTGACTTTGTTGTGGTTTAGTATGTTTGTGAGGTTTAACCACATCGCTATATAATCATTAGTTCCTTCCCCAAAACCTTTCTCTTTCCTTCTGCAATGGGCCTTGCACATGGTAGGCAAGTGCTCTAACTTTGAGCTATCATACCAGTCCAGTTCACTGGCTTTTGTTTTGTTTGTGGTACTGGGGATTGAACCTAGGACATCTGCACTGAAGTACATATCCACCTGTTTTTATTTTTTGAGACAGAGTCTTGCTAATTTGCTAAGCTTCCTAGGCTGGGCTTGAGCTTGAAATCTTCCTGTCTCAGCCTTCCCAAAGTCTTAGGATTACAGGCATACACCGAACCCAGCCTCATTCTTTTCTTTTCTTTTTTTTTTTTTTGTCTTTTTGAGACATGGTTTCCATATGCAGTTCAGGCTTGCCTTGAACTCACTTTGTAGTCCAAGCTGGTCTCGAACTCGCAACGATCCTCCTGCCTCAGCCTCCTGAGTGCTGGGATTACAGGCATGCGCTACCACATCTGTCCCCCAGCCTCATTCTTATTTAATGTTTTGTGAAATGTCTATTTTATTTTTTAAAATTTTATTTATTTTTTTTATTTGTGTGTGTGTGTGTGTGTGGCCAGCTCAGCCCACCATGGGGCGGGGCTGGCTGGCATGTGGTGCTGGGGGATTGAACCGC